GTGTGCACTAGGAAAACGACTAAGGAACTGAGAACGCAGAGATCACACGAGCACCCGTGCCTAGCCCGTAGTCTAGCTCCCGTTACTAGAGTTATCTCCGCAGGTTGCCCAGGCAATGTTGGCGAGAACGACCTTGGTAGTGGTATCCCAAGGTCGACGTGGCTGATCAGAAGCTGTCGTCAGCACGACATTGACTTGGTGTGTGCGCTGTGCAGGTGACGGGGCACTGCACGCCAATCATCTGCGAGCACCTGCGAAGCGGGTGCGCTGCCGTCTTGAGGGAGCAACGTTGGCACGCCGTCAACCTGCGATGTTGGCACGCCGTCGACTTGCAGCATTGGCAAGCCGCGACTTTGCACTGCTGGAGCGCGGTCGACCGTGCTGCGCTGGAAAGAAGCCTTGGTTGCATGCTAGCTCTGATGTAGTCTAGTCTTGCCAACTTCATTCTACCGTTGCTTTCAACCTTTCTTAGTGAAACTCTTGCCAAATTGCCCCGTGAACTAGCAAGCAGTGTATGCACTAGGAAAACGACTAAGGAACAAGGAACGCAGAGATCACACGAGCATCCGTGCCTAGCCCGTGGTCTAGCTCCCGTTGTAGTAGTTATCTCTGCAAACTTGTGCTTTCCTGTCAGTTCTATGGGGGATGGCAATATGATAAGTATCATGATGACTTCATCATAGAGCGACTGAAAAACATAGGGAAGTGGAGCCTGAGTTTGAGTCGTATGGATAGGATCAATGGTAACGGAGCGGCGGAACATTCAGCAAGCGCTTTCCTATTATATTTCTTTATCAGCACTAGCCCTCTGACCGCCTGTCGCAGTTGCGCCCCTGCTTGCTACGCGCCTGGTTCGTCCGATTCTTCTGGATCCGACGATCGTCCTCATTTCCACCGGATTTGCATGCAGCTGAGTTGGGGGAAGGCTCATGGGAAGCTGTTTGTCACTGCTGCAGAGCATATCACATCTGCTCGCCACCTTCATGGTAAGGAGGAGCTCGGTGCCGTCACACGCGCGACCATGGAGAAAGCGAGCCTGGATGCGATTCGCAAAGAGTATGGCCTGTAACAGTTGGCTCAATGGTGGTTGCTGTTTTTTGCTTTAACTGCCTGTGGATGCATAGAGACGATCAAGCAGTGACTATATGAGTATACGGAACATCCTATCCTTTGCGGGCCTGAATATCAATGGCCTGGGAGATAACACAAAACGGAAACGCACGACAGACTGGACTTACAGTGATAAAGCCACGGATGTCATGATTCTCTTAGATACGCAGACTACCCATACTGGACCACCCTCAATCTCACATCTTTCTCAGCTGCAACCCCGGTCACCCGAGCTGGTGGCGTAGCAGTCCTCAACGGCAGACCGGACCTCACCTTTCACAACCCCCTAGCTCACTTTTCTGGTAGATTAGTACAATCTGAGATTCAGTGCGCAAGCTTTTCCCTAACAGTGATCGCTACTTACCTTCCTTCAGACAAACCTATGAGACGAGCGTTTATCAGGACGGTTTTATGACCGACGGTTGACCAAATTCTGCCAGGCTTCAATCTGATCATAATCGGGGACCTCTACATTGTCAAAAACCTTGTGTTAGATAAGACGTTTAAGTAGGGTTCGACAAGGGATAACGATTTCTTTTATCAGAGCTGCAAAAGTCTTTGGCATTGCTGATGCTTTTCATGCTTTGTATCGGTGGTGGAAGCATTGGCGGGAGTGCAGGCGCAAGTGTTGCGATTGTCTGCAAATAGAAGCAGCTCAAACGGCAACATCCATGGTCGACGTCAATCTCCTTTACGGGGTGGAGTACGGATTTTTAAAATTTTCATCGGCAGGTCGAGACGGAGGCATCGCGGCGGGGTACGGATATTTAAAAATTTCGTCGGACAGATCTCTGTGCCGAAGCCGCTCGAAGGTCGGCACGACTTGATCACGTGGAATGAATCCATTGAGCCTCAGCTGGAGACTGCCGGATTGAAGAAGTTCGTTGACGGCAATGTTGAGGCGCCGGACGCAGACGACTCTGAACTCTGGGCGGAATTTCGCGCTGCTCATCTACTAACCTTCATGGTCATTTCGAGGTGTTCCTCTCCTCTTGTGCAAGTTGCATTGAAGTCGTGCAGACTTCAAGTAGATGCTGGCTACCACGCGTGGCAGTACATCGGCGATGTTCACCAGCACACCGAAATTTGAAATGAAAAAGATGGCATCGGCATCGCGACCGCACTCGGAAATGGCCGCGGAACCCACCTCCGAGGTCTGGCCGTGATGCCACTTGAGAAACTTTTTGATACCGAAACGGAAAATTACGCAACTGCATCGGGAACCTCCATCCCCACCTTCCCCCCAATGGCGCGAAAGTTTAGCGTCACTGACCACAGCCTGCCCACGGGCCAAAAAATGCTCGCCTTGGGTAAAAAACGCTAATAAAAATAACACAGCTCTAATACAACCCCCGCCAGTCCGTGTATACCCCGGTCACAATTCAGACTCATGTGCCGGGGGCTAATCGAATGTGTGTTCGGGAGGGGGAAAAAAGGGGGTATACGAAACCCCATTTGTCAAACAATTGGCTCGTTCAGAGGTTCCCATCTGAACGGCAATGCAATCACTGTACCAGCGCTGTCCTTTGAAAATGGGGGGATGGCGATGGCATAGCTTGGGGAGGGAATTTTGCTTGGGAATGAAGTTGCGTCCCCGCTTCCATATGCCGTCGAGCAGTTCGAATTGGTCGAGAAATAGGGGCGTTCACCAGGCCCCCACTTTGGTTTCTGGTTTGGACGATAGGAGAGGCTCGGCAGCATTTTTACGGGCTGACCAGGCTGACGGAGGTTAACGAACCCTAAATAACGGGCTCAGAAAGGCGAGATTGACCTTCCTGATCCCATCGTTATCCCGTCATTTTTTGCAACCCTGGTGCTGGCGAACACCACCATCATGCGCACATACAAAGCGACCGCGACCTCTACATCAGTCAACTGGAAAAAGTAGTTGACCAACATTTGGATGGAGGAACAGGAATCGGCGACCGAGTACTGCAATCGAGCGCGGCGAATTTTGGCCGATCTGCGAATGGCCGGCATCGACTACTCGGTGGCGTCATATGTCACTCATGTCATCAGTGGCCTCCCCTCGGGCTACAATCTGATATGCCAGATGCTGACAGTGTTGTGTGATGTGCCAGATGCTGACATATGCATTCACGTCTGTCTGCCTCCCATCATATTCTACTATCTTCCATGCGTGGTGTACATGCGCGCAAGAATTTGTGTTCGATGTGGTTGAGATTTTTTGAGTATATGTGAATGTTATTTTGCTTGAGCAGATACCTGAAGTGACTCCTGTACTCGAGAGCTTTCCGTCTCGCTTCAATCGGAGCACGAACAAGAAAGCTACGAACGTTCGAAGTTCGTATGCTTTTCGTATTTGGTTGCGATGACTATGGGAATTTGTTGGAGTGACTCAATATGGGGTACAGACTTTTGGGGTTGGAAAATTCATCCCCATCACTGTAGATGCTGTCAAGTGGTTGGGTGAAACCAAACCAGGTTGGCAAGTCTGGACAACTTGGGTGAGGTGGATTGTGGAGGTTGGGAAAGTGACAAATGTCAAAGTTGGGGTGCCTATAGAGAGGGGAATTGTGTGGCATGGGGTTTTCTTTGGTTGGGAACTCTCTTGGGGCCTTTCCTCTCGTCGTCTCTTCTGTCGTACCTGGTTTATTGGTACTCTAACTTTTGTGTGTGTAATTTGTGAGAACAATTGTGAGTGAGTTAAACTTCTATAACAACATACTCCCTAGTGCGCCGAAATTCATAACTCGAGTTATAGACCATCTTTGGATACGATTCAAATTGAGAAAGATAGCCACGGTCAAGGGCTACAACATACTCGAGTTTGAGACAATTCTAACGGTGCAATTTTTGTCGACGACGTTTCTTATCAAGTCGACATTTCTGTTCAGAAGTCTAGCCCAACGAGTTTGAGTTATTTCGGCCCCTAAACGTTCTAGACTCGTCCTTGGTCTCTAACAAGTGGTATCAGAGCTGATTAAGGACTTTGTGGGGAGTCTACTGAAGTGTGAAGACCCTCCTAGACCCACCATGGCCTGTGGGCGTGCCTAAGTGGAGTTCTGGAGGTTGGATGTGACTTTCGCTAAGGGAAAACTCTGCTGAAATTTCGTTGGCGCCGAAACTTGTGAAGATTTTGTGGATCTACATTGTGACCAGCAAAGGCCAGTTCGGGAATTTTGACCCGATTCCCTTTCGATGGGCGGCGCGGGGAGAACCGCGCCGTTCTCAAGGAGTTACCCCATCTCTTAGGATCGACTAACCCATGTGCAACTGCTGTTCACATGGAACCTTTCTCCACCTTAGTTTTCAAAGTTCTCATTTGAATATTTGGTACTAATTCCAAACCCCGCAGCGATCGGGAGCTCCACTCGCGCTCACGCGCACGCTTCGATGCATCTCACCGCGCCCTCCTACTCGCACCGGCTCACCAGCAGCCGGGTGCGGCCGGGTATAGGTCACACACTTGAGCGCCATCCATTTTTGGGGCTAATTGATTCGGCAGATGTGTTGTTACACATCCAACCAGGGTAGCCCTGTCGATTACGAGTCATGGCTTGAGGGACTTCACATGTACCTGCGTAGCGTTACCCGCAACGACGACTCTCTTTTTGAGCACACCTCAGGCTCCCTCCCAGCCCCTCCCACTCCGACTGAGCCTGCTCTTTCTGCGTCGACAGAAGCACAGCAGAAGTACAAAGCTGACCGCATAGCTAGTACGCAGTGGTTAGCAAGCGATGCCACTGCCGCGCTTGCAGTTCGCAGCCACCTCCCGCCCGACCAGCGCACCCACTTTCGCTAGGTGAAAACTGCCAAGGACCTTTATGACGCTGTAGTTAAGCGTTATTCATCTCCCTCCTCTGCCGCTCTAGGTCGCCTGCTACCTCTTTCCAGAGCTGTCAGACTTCGACACTATCGCTGACCTCATGACTCACCTGCGGACCAGTAACCTTCGCTACCGTGCTGCTCTCAAGCCAGAGTTTCTGGCTAAGAAACCTCCCCCGATGTACAATGCACTCTACTTCCTTGTATCCTATCTCCCTGTCTCCCTTCACCCCATCCAAGACCATTTCCTTTCTCTCGACCCTAGCGAGCTCACCCTAGCCTCGTTTGAGTCACTGCTCTTGGAGGCTAAGACCAGTGCCTACGCTGTAGCTGCCTCCCGTGGTACTCCTCGCACCTCCTTCTTTGAGGGGTGTGCTCCTTCCCTACTTGCACCCTCTGTCGCCCCTGCTGCTACTGTTGACTTCCTCGGTGCTGAGGTAGCCGGTGCTGCGTCCGCTCTTAGCGGGAGGCGCAACAAGGGTGGGCGCCAGAAGGGCAAGGGTCGTGGGGGTGGCGGCGGGGATGGCGGTGGCAGGGGCGGTGGTGGTGGCGGTAGTAAGGGCGGTGGAGGTGGTGGTGGCCGGGGTGGTGGGGGTGGCGGGGGTGGTGGGGGTGGCGGGGGCGGTGGCGGCACTTTGGGTGGCGGAGGCGGCTTGGGTAGCAGTCGTGGTGGAGCCAGCTGGGGTGGAGGTCAGGGAGTTGCGTCTGGATACACGGCTAGTGGGGGCGGAGGTTTTGGGGGTGGACAGCAGCAGCAGTCGCGTCGGTAGGAGACCCTCTCGCCGCAGCAGCTACGTGAGTGGGTGGTCCAACGAGGTGGTCCCGGAAGAGGAGGCCGCTGTACCTACGTCAGACGCACGGGACCCCACGCAGGAGACGTGGCAAGCCAGGCCATGTCGATGCTCGCTGCTTCTGCCGCCTCGAGGATGCTTTTTCGCGAGGAGTTTGGTGAGAAGACCGAGATGCGTAACTGGTTAGGATTGCTAAAAAAAACATTGATTTATTTGCTTTTGATTGGGACCAGATCCTTGCTGGCATGCATGCTATGTGTGTTGCTCCTGCTTCTAGTGTTGAGGGCGACTATTACTCGGGTGTGCCTAGCTCTGGTGATATATAGGCTTCTAGTCTCGTATGAGTCTGCTAGCACAAGTGCTGCCGAGGCTTTGCTCATCTTCACGCTAGACTCGAGCGTGTCTCGTTGCTTTTTCCGCGACTGCACCACAGTCACACCACTCACCACTCCTGTCCCTGACACTTTGGCCGGCACCTCCTCTGGCCCAGTCGTTGCACGAGGTACCATTGCTCTCCCCTATCCGGCAGTCCCCTCCGGTTCTCTCACAGGTTTCCACTTCCTCCCGTTCGCTACGAACTTGGTGACTCAAGCTGTCCTCCAGGATCGGTTGGTCACTACAACCACTCCTGAGGGAGAGCTTGTGGCGATCTGTACGGACTCAGTAATTGACGACCACCTCGTCACGTTGACTCGGAGGCCTGGGTCTGGCCTGTACACACTTCGCTGGGTCCGGTCAGGTAGCTGCGTCGTGCTCGTAACGGTCGCTCACGCACTCGTCCCTCCTCTGACACCACTGTCTTGGTCACCCCTCCCTGCAGCATCTGCTTCGCAAGCACTCGCGTCTCCTTGTCTCGGGCCTTCCGAGGTCCCTGCCCCCGCTCCCTCCGTCGCTCGCGCTGCCGTGCACTCCCTGTGTTGAGGGGCGGCAGAGCGCCGCTCCTCACTCCTCCTCGTTCCCTCCGACAGAGGCTCCTCTGCAGACCCTGCATATGGACGTGTGGGGCCCTGCCCCCGTCCCTGGGCCGGACCGAGAGCGCCGCTTCCTGCTGGTCGTCGACGACTATACGCGCTACACCACGGTGTTTCCCTTGCAGAGCAAGGGCGGCGTTCATAGTGTTTTGATCCCTTGACTGTGGAGGGCATCACCCAGTCTCCCAATTCTCCGTCTGCACTCTGACTGTAGAGGTGAGTTTTCCTCCGGTCTCCTTCATTACTTATAAAGTGAGGAGGGCATCACCCAGTCGTTCACGCTTCCGGCTTCTCCGCAGCGAAATGGGATTGCTGTGGGCCGCATTGGCTTGATCATGGAGGTTGCTCGCACCTCCATGATCCATGCGGCTGCTCCCCATTTTCTGTGGCCGTTTACGGTCCGATACGCTGTGCATGAGCTCAACCTCTGGCCCCATGTCAGAGACCTCGCCTACCCTGCGTTGAACGGGGGAGGTTGGTGATGCATCGGCGTTTTGGGTCTAGGGTTCGATGGCCCTTGTCCGCGATACTACCACGGACAAGCTCTCTTCTCGCACCGTTTGCTGCGTCTTCCTTGGTTTTCTCACCGACGCGCCTGGCTGACAGTTTTTCCCAGAACGTCACCTTTGACGAGTCAGTTTGCTACTACCGTCTCCTCCCCCACGTGTCTTCTCCTATCCCCCCACCGCCCCTCTTCCTGGTTCCAGGTTACCCCCAGTAGACCCCCACCCCCCCTCTCGTCCTGCTCCCTCATGTGTGTCTCAGGTCACACCACCCCCCTTGGTTGAGCCTTTGGAGGTCTCCTCTGGCCCAACTGAGAGGGTGACCCTGCTGCTGATGACACTACGGCCTTTCGCCGCTCCCCACGCTTGGAGACCCTTCCTGGTTTTCCGCCTCGGCCGTCTTCGCCGCCCCTGCTGCCTGTCGCCGTGGACTCCGGTGCTACTGGAGGTAGTGGCGCTGGAGGTGAGGGCTCTGAGGGTGCTGACGCTGGTGGTACTGATTCTGGGGGTGCTGAGCGTGGGGGTGCTGAGCCTGGGGGTGCCGAGCATGGGGGTGCTGCACCTGGGGGTGAGCAGCAGCTGCTGTCGCGTCCGCAGGAGAGTCTCTCGTCGCAGCAGCTGCGTGAGTGGGTAGTCGGATGTCGTGCTTCCTTTGAAGGTACTGAGCAGGCAGTCGCTGACTCTTGAGCTGGAGGCGCTGGAGGTACTAGAGCAGGAGGTGCTGAGGATGCTGGTGCTAGAGGTACTGGAGCTGGAAGCACACGACCTGGAGATACAGGAGCTGGAGGTGCTGGGGATTCTGGTACTAGAGGTACTGGGGTTGGGACAGCTGGTGCTGGAGGTGCTGGAGGTGCTGGAGCTGCTGGAGGCACTGGAGCTGCTGGTGGTGCTGGAGGTACTGGAGCCGGGGCTATTAGAGGTTCTACTGCTGGGAGTGCTACGCAGATATGCAGCGGCGACCGTTCTTCTGGCCTTACTCCTCCCCTACTCTGCCCTCCGCCTGACGAGTCACAGCCACTGTTACAGCCTGACTCATCACTGCCTGCTTCTTCTCCTTACACTGAGCTGACAAACTCTCTGACAGAGCGTCGTGTGCCTGCGTCACGTCCTGCCTCCCCTGTTCGCACTGTTCGTCGTGCTCGTCGTGTTCGTCCTCCGCCTGTTCCTGGCACACACACTATGGTACTTCGTCCTTCCTCTGTTCCACAGCGTGTTGCCCAGCCATCTTCCCCAGCGTCCTCACTTCCCGACGTTCCTGACCCTGAGTCGAACCTAGTTCGTGCTGCTAGTTCTAGTGTCACGCGTGTTCTAGCCACACTTGCCACTGACCCTACTTTTGAGTCTGCTGCTGCGTCTGCCTTAGTCACTGAGCTCGTAAATTTTGCTGCTTCGTGTCATCTAGACTACGTCACTTGTCTTGTTACCGAGTCTGAGTCTGACTGTCCTCCGTCCGTCGGGGGTGAGTGTGCCCTTGGCACGGACGTCCTTGAGGACAAGCAGTGTGGGCTCGAGTATCTTGCCGCTGCTGTACCTCATCTCGTGCTATGCTACTTGCCCCTGAGGGAGACCCGGATGCACTAGACATCCCAACCCCGCGCTCTTACGCAGAGGCGATTACGGGTCCCTACTTCTCTCAGTGGCAGACAGCCATGGACGCAGAGATGGCATCCTAGAAGTCCACAGGCACTTACATCGACGCAGTTCCCCCACCTGGGGCGAACATAGTCGATGGCGTGTCAATTTTCAGGGTGAAACAGCCGCCGGGTTCTCCGCCTGTCTTCAAGGCGCGTTACGTTGCACGAGGCTTCAGTCAGCGACAGGGGGTCGACTTCTTCCAGACCTTCTCCCCCACCCCGAAAATGACCACTCTTCGGGTGTTACTGCACGTTGCAGCATAGCATAACTACGAGCTCCACTCGCTTGAATTCGTCACAGCTTTCTTGCAGGGCAGCCTACACGAGGAGATCTGGCTACGCCGCCCACATGGCTTGACTGGGTCGTTTTCCGGGGGTACTCAGTGGAGCCTCCGGCGGCCAGTCTACGGTCTTCGCCAGGCGCCACGCGAGTGGCGTGACACACTAAGGACGACACTTGCGGCTCTTGGGTTTGCTCCTTCGACTGCTAATCCATCGCTGTTTCTGCGCACCGACACTTCCCTGCCGCCGTTCTACATTCTTGTGTACGTCGACGACTTGGTTTTTGCTACTGCTGACACTGAGGCACTGGCCCTTGTGAAGGCGGAGCTGCAGAAAAGATACAGTCGCACTGACCTGGGTGAGCTGCGCAGCTATCTTGGCTTGCAGATCACCTGGGACAAAGCACAGCTCACCGTCACTCTGACTCAGTCACACATGGTGCACTAGGTTCTTCAGCGGTTTGGCTTCCACTTCTCCTCGCCATAGTCCACTCCTCTGCCTACAGGCCACTCGCTCTCAGCTCCACCTTCGGACGAGTCCGTAGAACCGAGTGGTCAGTATCCAGAGCTTGTGGGCTGCCTCATGTACCTGATGACCTGCACTCGATCTGATCTCGCGTACCCTCTCGGCATCCTGGCACACTACGATGCACCCAGGAAACACCGACCAGAGCACTGGCGGTCTGCTAGGAGGGTGCTGCGTTATTTGTGTAGCACATTGGGGCCCATGCTTGGAGGACGGAGCCCAGTTGTACTCACTGGACACTCAGACGCTTCTTGGGCAGACGACCAGGCCACTCAGCAGTCGTCACAGGGTTACACCTTCAGCCTTGGCTCCGGTTCAGTTTCTTGAAAGTCCACCCACTCGTCTTCTGTTTTCAGCTCCAGTTGTGAGGCTAAGATTCACGGGGGGGGGGGCATGGCTGTACAGGAGTTACGCTGGCTGAGCTACCTGCTTACCGACTTGGGAGAGCGGCCTCGTTCTCCTCCAGTTCTGTACGTCAACAACAAGGCCGCCATTGCCTTGTGTCAACAACACAGACTGGAGCACAGAACAAAGCACATCGCTCTGCGCTACTTTCTTGCACAAGAGTTGCAGTAGCGTCATCAGCTTCACCTTGCTTATGTGGCCTGACGGGCCAACACTGCTGATATTTTCACCAAGGCACTTGTGTTTGGTGACCATCAGTGTTTCTGCACTGCTCTAGGCCTTGTGCCTACTCTGCCTCACTTGCTTACTGCTTGACTTTGCCTTGTACTGCTTATCTATATATTAGTCTGCATGCTTATCTTTGCTAGGTGGTGATCATAGTAGATGCTCTTCATAACTCTGCATGTAAACTGGCCTTGTGGCCATTTGCTTGTGCTTACTTGGACTATGTGGTGACCTCGTGATCCACCCTGAGCTTTGTTTTGTCTTTTTTTGGCTGGTCTTGTGACCATTGTTTGCTGGCTATCCCCCACTTCGCCTATGGGGGTGTGTCAAAAGATATATATCATATCAGTATGTAGGCTATGTAGGGACTAGCTTTAGGGGGTACAACAAATTGCACGACACTTTACTTGTACCACCCTCGTAAACCTATTCAA